ATTAAGAAACAATAACTTTTCACCTTTTTTATCTTATTATTTTATCTTATTTATCTTTTTCATCTTATTATACCTTATTATTTATTAATTTATTATTTTCATTTTTTTCATAATATTTTTATTATTTCATCTTTTTTACCTTATTAATTTGTTTTTTTCATTTTTCATTATTTATTTTATTTTTTTTCATTTTATTATTTTATTTTATTTTTTTATTTTTTATTGGAATTTATATTTACAAAAAATGTATAAATAGAAAATAGTATCTGAAATTTGATTTAATATATTAAAACTTGAGAAAATAATGACTAATAAAAATAAAATTTTAGAAATTCGTAATTACAGTGACAATAAAAAAAAATGCAACTTTGTCAAAATTTATTAATATAATAAAATACAGATTTTCTTTTTATATGAAAGTTTTCAATTTTATTAATAAATATTTTTATTTTTACATCAAAATAAAAATTATATTACATATTTAATAAATTTTTGTACTATATATAGTACAATATATAAAAAATTTAAAAAATTATAAAGATAAATATTTTTTATATACAAAAATTTGTTAAATACTCTAATATTATTTAAACTTAAGAAAAAATTTTTTAGGATATGTTATTTCTTGAAATAAGTTGTCGAAAAATTCCAAGATATTTTATTTTTTGAAAAAATTCTATAAAATTATAAAAAATATTTAATAATATCAAACTTTTAATATATATTTAAAAGTATAATTAATATATTGAATTATTATTAAAATATAATATAATATACTACTAATAATATTGAAAATTCAATTAATAGATATTTTTTAGATTTAATATTATATATTAATCTATAATAAATTACTATATATATAAAATTTTGATAGTAAAATCTAGTAAAAGTTAAAATTTTTACTTTATAAAGAAGTTTTATTTTCATATTAAAATAAAGCTAAGAATTTATATTTCAATATATATTTTTTGTAGATTTTATTTTATAAATTTTTTTGATTATAAAATATCTGCAAAAATTTTTTATAATTAAGTTTAAATTTTAATTATAAAAAATTTTTGCAGATATTTTATATTCAGAAGAATTTCATGAAATAAATCTAAAATATTTACAAAAAATATATTGAAATAGATTATTAGCTTTATTTTAATATGAAAACAAAAAATATTTATTAATTATATAAAACTTTTTTTATAGAGCAAATATTTCAGATTTTACTAGATTTTACTATCAAAATTTCTATATGCATGGTAATTTATTATAGGTTAATATATAATATCGTTTAATTATATATAAAATCAATAATTTTTTATAATATTAAATCTAAATAATCTGAAAAATATATGTTAAAATATATAATATTATCTTTATTTAATATCAAAATAAAAAAATATTTATTAGTAAAATTGAAAACTTTCATATAAAGAGAAAATTTGTATTTTATTATATTTTATTATAAATTTTGATACTTTTGTATTTTTTTTTATTGCCATTGTATATATTTTAAAGCTTGTGTACAAGTAATTTTTATTCTTTTGTGATTATTAAAATGATATTTTTTTATTATTTTAGTATTTCTTCCTAGTATAAGATGACTGATTCTTTTTAGTATAAAAAAACAAAGTGAAATATTTTTGTTATTGTCTGAAAATGCATTTGATTAAATCTTTGGAAATAAATATCAACAAATAAATATTATCCTATTAACACGTAGAAATCTCAATATATAATCTAAATATATAATCTAAATATTGTCAAATACTTTTTATTTTTTTCAGGATAGCAAGATAATTCTTGTAAGCTTCCCGAAAGTTGTCATCTGGAGGTTTAAAATTTTTTGGCTTGTTTGGACCCACTTGGTTAGTTTCTTGCAAATTTCTCAATTATTTTGAAGCGTTTCTTGCTTGACAATTTATTTGATAATTGATGCAGTCATTTCTAGAACAATATGGGATAATGATGGGGAACGATTCAGGGTTGATATTGATTTAAAATCGGATTGGACTATTGTTCAGTTCAATAATCCAGTTCAAGCTCGATGATACGATATTATTTATTAATTACATATTCATTGGTCGAATTGTTGGGCAGCCAACAGGGCAATTGCAGCTGCCACTTTGCTATGATCAGCGAGAAAGCTACCTACTCTTCTATATCTGAATAACTGACGTTGTTTCTTCCGTTCTGCTAAGAGTGACAATTTTGTAACCAAGTTTATCATGTGAATTTACATTACCGCTACGAATTCCACATGTGATAATAGCTCTAAACGAATCAAAGTTCAAGTATACCATCTTAAGTGTTAAAATCAAAGGTATTTTATTTGAGTTTTATTTTTTATGCTCATTCAGTTACGCTAATATTGAAAATAAGCACCACCCGAAATTAAGCAACCCCGCATTTGTAATAATGTTATTGAAGATAAAATCTAACGATTGTCAAAAATTACAGACACCATCACCGATATCTCACTACCACCAATACGTATAACGAACCCACCCAAAATTAAGTATATGCCTCTATCGCTATAGCACTGTTATTAAATCCAGCTATTTGACCTACGTATAAAGTTTTACAGCCCAACTGACCAAGTGTATGAAATTATTTATATTACAAACGTTTAACACGTGATCATTTAATTTATGTACATGTAGTAAAAAAAACTGTTCTACATGTATACTGTTACGGGCGATGTTCGTTGGTTTCTAATTCCTGTGCCTCTATCTACGGATATTGTTCAGTATGACGGTAGAGAGGAGTTTCGAATGGGAATTTGGACGGTTTGGTTTTAGGTAAGGTGGTTTTGGATTCAGTATTTTACGTGACGGATTGATAATATTCTTCCTGTTAACTTCCAATTGTTGCTTTTTCTAGCTAAAAGCCTTTAATTATTCAACCATTGCTGTTTCTAGCCAAAAGCCTTAAATTATTCAATCAATGAAGCACTTTCCAATCAATCAATCAATCAAAATTCCGTTAACAATATCAATAACAATGTTTTTTCTGGATCAAAGGACCTAACCACAATCAATTATAACAATTTTACAAGTCTTGATTTACTTGGAGAAGAATCGTACGCAATTAAGTTATGAATGTTTATTAACCTCTGTGAGGATTATATATACATTTTTTTGCATAATGTACTCTATTGTTTAAGAGAATTTAAGATAAAAAAAAATAAAAAACTAAAGCGAGCTTAAAAAGCGAAATTAAAATAGAAAACAAAAGCGAATATCACATAGAATTTCGAAGCGAATAAAAATAGACTAACGAAATCGGGCCAAGCGGGTTTTACCAAAATTGGGAGATTAACGTTTTATTACCCATATCATACTTCTTGGAAATCTTTACCGAACATTTTATCGTGGGACTCGAATTTTTAACATTTTGGGATTTTGAAATGTTGGATTTTGAGATGTCAGGGTTTCAGGATTTTGTTTGTTGGAAGTACATGTATTAGTTGGAATTGGGATGTTGTACCAGATCCATAACTTCAAATTTACGAAAATGATCGTACGTAGTGTGTATCGAATTATTATTGCATTATCACATAATAAAGTATTGGTGGATTTTTAAATTTGATAAATTATAAATATCTAGAATCAAGTCAACTCAAATTGACTCATGAGTTGATTCAGTATGAGTTACGAGTTGAATCAAAGAATGACTCGACTCGGTAGAATTCGAATCAACTCATGAGTGATGGCTAGCCAAAGGCGAGCAAGCAATATTTTGAAATTTTTGATATTTATTAGATAAATATATGTCATTAGCTGAGACAATTTCAGGAATACAGTCCCTCTCTATTATATTGATACAACCCTCTTATATATCAACAAAAATGCTTGGTCCGTCATGTTGACAATAGAGAAGGTTGACTGTATTTATGTTTAAATTTTTTAGTGGAAGAGTGATTTATAAAAGAAAAAAGGAATCAATGATGTATTAGTGCTTGGAATAAATAATAATAATTATACATGTAATTTGTCAAATCTAAAATTAATCAAATTCGATATATAATTTAGTTATGTAACCGTTAATAACAATATTGCAATTTGAGTCGAGTTAAATCTGATCTGAATCAAGTCGAGTTCAAATAAGAGGTTCATAGAATAACAACATGACTTAATTCGATTTGATTTCTTTGAGTTGAATACGTTAATTTGACTCAAATCGGAGCTCTTACAGTATACGTCATAAATAATGAGAAATTTTACCTTAAACAAGAAAGAGCTATAAGAAACAATTAAACTCAAGAAAGATATTCTCTGATATATAAAAAAGTTTATAAAAAGTCAATTATATTGAATATTTTGATTATGTTATTACAATAACCTGCGTTAGTTTAAACGTGATCATTATTTAGATATTTTTTTTACAAAATACTAAAAAGTTTGTTAAGGAATTTAACAAGTTCTCTTATATTAAATTGTCTTTCATATAGTTTGATAAATAATTCATTTTTATAAAACCTCTTTTTGTGGTTTTTTTAGGCAAACCAAAAATTTTTATTATAATATTATAAATGGTAAAAACAAAACATCTCATTACGTATTTACGGTGCGCGCTGTACGTAATAATGTGATTTGACTTAATTCGTGTGATTCTTCTACTCCGTGTTTATTTTCTGTGTTCCAGAACTCTGAAAGTGTTTTTTCACGGTGTCTCAGGTTAGCCTCTCCTTTACACATGTACCATTCTAATTACATGTATTTGATCTCTCATAGTGAGTTATCCCCTTTTTAAGAAATCTAACATCGTGGGGTCCATTTTTTTGTATTATGTGTAAGACTCGGTCCATATGTAACGTTGCTAGTATTGTTGTTTTTATTGTACGTATTATTGTTGCACTAATATAATTAAATTTGTCATTGTAGTGCGTCATTAAAATTTGTCGACTGCGGTTAAATGTATGTCTAAAAAAGGTAATTTATATTTGCTTAATTTAACATAAATTTCAAAGTTTTGCAATTTAACTTCTTTTCTATTGATGCAAAAAAATGACTTGTCATAAATGCGAAAATAGATGGAATCAGTGGTGTAGAATATGTCCAAATTGTGATATTTCTGTTTGGACAAGTGGAAATTTAAAAATTGATGAAAAAATTATAAACGCTCAACAATCCAATAGATCATGGTGTTGGGTTGAGTGGATTCCTTATGATGAATTTAGTCATATTCAAAGTATTGGAAAAGGCGGTTTTTCAAAAGTTTCAAAAGCTATTTGGGAAAAAGGACCAATATATAATTTTGAATTAAAAACACATGAAACACAACGAGCAGGCAATCACGCTGTTGCTCTTAAAGAGATTTATAACTCTAGCGACTGCAATCCAAATTTTTTAAGTGAAGTACGTAATGAACATTCTAAATTTTTTAAAGAATATTAAAATTAGTACTAAATAATGCAAATATTATAGCTTGCAATTACACTTGGAAACTATAACTTTCGTAAGGGAATATGTGAAGTTTACGGGGCTTCTCAAGATCCACATACCAATAATTACCTAATTGTGATGCGATATTATGATGAGGGAGCTTTATATGACAAATTATCAAAAAAGGAAACAACACTATCAGATATTGACACGTGTCTTAGATCTATCAGTACCGTATTAGCGAAATTGCATAATTCCAATGTAATTCATCAAGATTTACATAGTGGGAATATTCTGTGTAGTTATTCTCAATATGATATAGCGGATTTTGGAAGAGCCAGGATGTCTTCCGAATTTGATACTCCAGTAAAAGAAATATATGGAATACTTCCATACGTAGCGCCTGAAGTATTACGAGGTCAACAATATACAAAAGCAGCTGATATATATGCTTTTGGAATGATAATGTGGGAAATTTGGAACGCTGAACGACCATTCGGAAATAGAAAACATAATCATGATCTCATTTATGATATTCATAATGGTTTGCGACCAGTGATTTCTGACAGCATGCCTTCGGAATATCGGGATATTATGATATGTTGTTGGGATCCGAATCCTCAAAAACGACCAAGTTCAGAAGAGCTTAAAGCTAAAATTAAGAAGTTATCTGAAGATCTCAATCAGAAAACAGATTTTAATATTATTGACTCTAAAAGAATTAAAGAATTACGGATGAAAAAAGATTCTGAGATACATTCGGGAGAGATACACAAAAGCCGTTCACCTAGTCCTATGGTAAAAACTGCAAACCCATTGAATAATTCTGCGACTGGTAAAATTTTTAATTGTTTACACATTACATTGTACCGAATTTCAACTTTTTTTTATCTATCTAATAAATGTAGTAATGTCTTTACGCAGAGATTCACGTAATTAATCCTAAATTTTGATTATTTTATTTTCTAGTATACATTTCTCGTGAATACGAAATAGACGTCGTCCGCGATAAATGTTTATCTTAGCTCACGTATTTCTATTGGTGGTCGAGCCGGGCGGGCTGGACAAGTGGATCGAATATTTCACTTATTTAGGACCGATCGACCGAAGATTTCGATCGACCTCACATCACTATTAAGAATACATGTTCACAGCAGTTAGAAGACTTAATTCTGTGATAAATCAGTTTCACTTAAAGTTTTATCGCCTTTCCATAAACAATCAATTTTTCATGCTCAGGATTCTCAAGTTCTGGCCTTTTAAACATTACAATAAAATGTTTGTTTTCTGAAAGAAAAAATTGGTATTGAAAGTTTACGCTTTAAATTTCGCAAATACAAACTGACACTTGTAGTGCCTAAATAAGTTAATTAATTTTAATTAATGTGAAACATCAATGTGATTTATATTAAAAAAATAAAGGTGTCAGTAATTGAAATTAATTTTGAAGTAAACATTCGACTGGTGTAAACTGCGTTTGAGTGGATTTGTTTTTCGTTCGTATTTGCAAGAATGCTCTTTTTTAATTTCATCTCCTTATCAAGTTCTTTCCATTTCTGCCTTTCTAGTTTGAGACACTCAATAATTTCTTCATTTGTCTTAGGATATTCTAAAGAGATAGTATGGAAAATGCAAAGTATTCTGTTCCCTGTAACTTTCTACCCAGAAAGTCTTCAAGTTCCTCGGCAGTTGTTCTATTTTCTGGAATAGGATCCCAACATTTTTCAACTTGAATAATTAGGAATATTATTTAGTATCGTAAGTCGTACTCCTTTATATATGTCTAACACAAGGTGTATATCATGACTTCGTTCACCTGTGGCAATCTCGTACATAATCATCCCGAAACTATAAATATCTGCAGCTTTAGTGTATGATTTGCCATTTAGTACCTCTGGACTCATATATGGAAGTAAGCAAATTTGTCGATCAAATTTTTCTATACTGTGAATTTTATTCAACGCTCGAGTAATCTCACTCAAGTATCTTGATTTTGTTCTCAAGCTATTGCTTCGGAGTTGGAATTTATATACGTATTTGCGTAGATCGCCATAATCCATCGAGTATTCATTTGTAGCTGGGTTTTTAGTTATTCCATAATAACCTATTTCATCATAACGAGGGCACTTTATAGCAGTCTGAATCTAATTTTGAAAAAGTTGATTAGATTGAAAACAAAAAAGCAATATGCTTACACTTTAAAAGGTATTCATTTTACCTCGTTTATAAACTCGGATGTAAACTCGAGCCGTTCCATTAATTTCTTTAGAGGAAACAAAATAATATTATGTATAAATGTAATTTAATTATGACTCATGAAAAGACATTGAATTCACTCATCGTGGGCACACGTTTTATTAACCTCGAATTTCTTTAAAGTGTTTTTGAAATACTTTTTTTTCTTCAAGTTCTCTTTTAGATTCTTGTCATTGTGTCAGAAAATGTTTGTTTTTATTATTTATTTATTGGAAGGTTGTTTAAAATGCTTACTAAAAGTCCAAACAGGTACTTTCTTTCGTATTTATTTTGGTTGATTCAGTGGGTCCTTTAATTTCGTTATCTGACCAATCATTGGTATTTCTAATAGTAAGAAGTATTTAAATAACTTAGTTCACATTTTATGAAAAAAATACACGTAATGAAATTATATTTTATAATAATATATATTTATTAAATTTAATTTGAAAATTTATATAATTTATTTTAATATAAGAATAAATAATTAAATATATATACAGTGGCAGAAATAATGCAACGACGTCAAAATTTATTAATTAAACATAGTAAAATGCGGATTTTTCTCTTTATATAAAAGTTTTCAATTTTACTAATAAATATTTTTTATTTTTACATTAAAATGAAGATAATATCACATATTTTAACATATATTTTTTTTAGATTTAATCTGATAAAGCTGTTCTAATTGCATATAAAGTCAATTGTTTTTTTATATGTTTTAATTATAAAAAATAATTGACTTTATATGCAATTAGAACAGCTTTATTAGAATATTTATTAGTAAATTGAAAACCTTTATATAAAGAGAAAAATTCGCATTTTACTATATTTAATTAATAAATTTTAATGTTGTTGCATTATTTCTGATTGCCACTGTATATAAAGTAAATAATATTTATAATAAGTGCACTGATATTATTAAGTAATATTATTTTAATTGAAGTATTTACTCTTTATTTCCATATAAAATATATAATCAATTAAAAATACTTAATTATATATTATCTTTAAAGCTATCATGTTTTCTATGTCATATTCATTTTTCATTTTGACTTCATTTCACTATTATTCTCTTCAGCTTTATCTTTAAATATTATGAATATATTTGAAACTTATATATAATTTAATAATAATAAGTTACCATTATTTAGTTCTTCAATACAATTTTTTACATCATGATATTTTTTGATTTAATCCCAAATTATTTTTAAAAGATCAGACTATAAAAAATAATAATAGATTAACTTTAAATCTTGAACATAATAACAATGTTAATAAAAATTATATAATAAAAGCAATCAGAACTAGTAATAAAGTTGTTTTCAGAGAGTGACTCATTCAATGTCCAGATACATGTTAAACAAATATATAGCTTGAGTGTATGATTTTTCATTGTACCTCTGAACTTATAAAAAAATCCAATCAAAAAATTTGCAGAATACTTCTTTATATATCAGCTGGTCCAAACCAATAATATTTTCAAGTAAAAGTCACTATGGTTAGTTTTATTTTCAAAATAAAATAACCTTTAGTCAATATCATACAACATTAACTAAAATGTTCCCTTTGGAGAAAATTTACGCCTTAAGTTAGACTCAAGACTGTTAATTTAATAAAATATGAAAAAATTGTATGGTGAATCTTGATTTATTCATTTTGTAGAAGCATAATTGGTTTTATTAAAGAAATCAGACTAAATTAAAGTTTAAATTTTTTCCAAAGGAGATTACACTGTACAGATAGAAAATGATCATTATTTAATGAATAAGTACGTAGTATATTCAAATCTAACTATATGATTTGTGAACGCTGACATTTTAATTAGTGAATTCTGTAATTCTAATAAAATGTTGTGTCAAATTCAATATGACCCCAATCAGATCGCATGCGGGGAATTTTGGATGATTAAATTATATTTTTGATTTTTGATGTGTTGTAACAAGGCAAATTATTTCCTTGTATTTTTCTCTGTACTTCACAAACAAACCTTTATATTTTCTAATTACAGTGAGAGCTCGTTACAGTAACACTCTTTAAGATAGCATCTCGTTATACTAACACAAATCTCTTCCCCGATCACGTTATTGTAATAAACTTTCATAGTATTTTTTCGATAGAGTGACATCGATATAATAGCACCAAATCCCGATCACGTTATTGATCGAGCGCCCACTGTAGGTTGAGGTACAGGACAAGAACGTGATCGATGAGGTACTGGATGGAATCATGGCAGATATAAACCAAAGCTTGATGACTGCCAGAGTAAGGCAAACTTTTCACTCGTTCGAAAATGGAGAGGGAATATATGTTTGAACAATATATAAATATCTTTGTATTTAATTCTAAAATCCCCTTTTTGATTCCAGCCTGGAAACGACAGTTACAACAAATAATACAATTGCTGCTCTTCTCTGTTCATATAATTCTATGAATCCTTCATTATCTATTTTTCCTATGCCTCTATCTTTAAATTCATCATTATCTCCTTCTCCATCTTCCTCTATAAATCCGTCTCCATTATCTTCGTCATCTTCATTACCATCGCTCCCCATTACTTCCTTTTTTATCTCCGCTTGCATCATCATCTCCATTATCTTCTTGCCTTCTCCATCCTCCTCTCCTCTCTTATATACTCTCCTTCTCCATCATCATCTTCTACAGATTCACCAATCATTTGTATTAACATTATTGACGATGAATAATATTGATGGTGCTGGCAATATTAGTAGCGCTCGTGATACTAATAGCACTTATGATAATTAACGATTATAATATACAAAGAAACCTCTAAGTGTACCCCACTTGGGACCGTATTAAAAAAAAGACAGAATGTGCATTTAGAGAGGGTGTGCATTTATGGAGAGTGAATAATTAGAGGTCTTGTGAGCCATAGCATGCATTGAGGGAGGGTTTATATAGTGTGTGCATTTATAGAGGGTGCATTCAGGGAGATTTCTCTGTGATAAACAGATGGCGATTTCACAAACACAATGATAAATGAAAGTACGTAATTGAAAGTCTTTTTTTATAAAAAAAATAACTAAATTTAATAAATGTAATGGTTAAATAATAATTTGACAAACAATAAAAACCACTTTTGCTCGTTGTGCTTTAACTCAAAACACAGACTGTTAATGTCAAAAATATTATTGTTATTATTGTTAATTTACTTTGATAAAGTGTATAATTATAACGTAGCGTAGTTACCACTTCATTCTAAGAGCAACGTTCTTCTTAGTTTCTTGTAATGTTTCGTCATGAATATGTAGTAAAACACTCAATATCGATATCTCTTCATATGATATACTAAGATCAGAATTTGTTTGCAGTCAAAGAAAAAAATAATGCAATTTTACTTTCGTTTGGAACATACTTGTAGGCCTTAAACATTCAATTATCAATATAAAATGTGAATATGATTAATACATATATTTAGAAATAAAAAGGACCTGTATTATTTGAAACTGAAGTCAATTTCGTAGTAAAGATTCGACTGTTGTTTTTTGTTTATATTTGTAGAAAGTTCTTTTAATTTCTGTTTTCAGATATTCTAAAGATGACAATGTATTGCATAGCGATGGTATTCAGTTGGTTGTTATTTTCTGATAGTGGATAACGTAGATAAAGATGTGAAATTCCTCTGCAGTTGGTCTGTTTTCTGGAATAGGATTCCAACATTTTTCAATAATAAATTTACACAATTCAGGAACAATATTAGGTTGTACTCCTTTATAAATATTCATAATTTCACTCACCAAATGGTCGTCTGCCTGTTACAATCTCGTACATAATTTTCCAAAAACTATAAATATCTACGGATCCTGCATTTCATGCAAATTATATTTTACTCTCTTTGATTGGGGAGTAAATTTAGTATTGGATTCACGTGATTTTAAAGCCTCTTTTGGAAGCTTTGGTAATACTCTATGGATAAGCTGACCAAAATTTGCTTTTGTCAAGAGGTTACGGATTGCTATTCCATCCGCATAAACAACTTACCTTAAATATTCAATCAATTTCAAGGCATTTTTTCATGTCCTGCTTGATGCATCCAGTGTGCAAGTTAAAAATGCACTGATTTTGATCATATGCATATACCAGTGCTGTTTGATCCTTGTTGTATATCGGTCGAAGTGCTCCAAACTTCACATACGTATCATTAGCTAGAGCGATGTGCATCCTGATGGCAGTCACTTCGTTCGGAGAAGGATTACATGCTGCAGAAAGAGTCCGGTTCATTTCAAATACAGCCTCCGCCAGAATTACAGCATGATCTTTGTGAATCTCAAATTCATCAACTTCAAACTCCAACATAAAGAAGGCATATTGACACTTATCCTCGCTGATGAATACTGTAGCAAAATCTGACCTTCCTGATCCTTTGCCAGCATTAACAGGAAAAAAGTGATGTAATTCCCAGATAGGCTCAAAACAGATCCCAGCCATAGAAAATGCATCTGAAAGAATTTTGGCCCAGAGCTGGCATTTACATGATTTTCGGATGAACAGCTTCCAGGACCACGACTTGGTGTTGGTGAGTAAAGAAGTTATTGCTGATAATGCTGTTGGCACATCAATAATAAAATCTGTATCTTCAAATCTCAACCATTTACGCAATACACCCATAAACCGTGATTCCACTGTTCCAATATTGCCCTTAGATACCAGTTCTTTCGGTGCGGTGCATAAACAGCATCACAAAGCTTCTGACACTTTGTATCTAATAATGCTGTTATAATAACGTCCAACCGTATTGCTGGTCTTCGCACAATAGGTCGATGTATGAGATCGAGAGAATTAGAGAGTTTACTATCCACTATCGACCATTTTAATAGAAGGAACAGATGACGTGCGAGCTGCGCATTCTCCTCAACATGATGATTTGCAAGTTATATAAAACTTGATAGTACGAGTTGAAAGCAGGAAATCCGGACATGTCAGGCCACATATACTCGTTAATTTATATAGGAAAATTGCGCTTTTTACCTCTTACTGAGGTCAAAGGAGTCGAAGGAGCAGACTGGGAAAAGAAATAGATTAATTTACAGTAGCGTTGATAAGTATCCGACCGGCTCTAGATGGTCCCACAGATAAGTACATTTAAATTTTTATTTTTATTAAAATACATTACTAACTTAAATATTTAATACATTGTATAATCGCCATTTGATTCTAGGAGTGCAACTAC